ATTAACATTGGCCTACCGCTTGTACTAATAAAGTGCCAAGGGCCTAAGTAGTCACCTTAATATTAAAAAAAAAAAAAGCAATCTTGCCAATACTTTATTAGAGTACAATATTTGACTCACAGGAAAAATATGATTTTTAGCTCAAGTTATCTAAAGCTTATCTAAATTACAAGTATTAGCTAACCCAGCTCTTTGTGATACTGAAATATCAAAATTACCCATGTTCAATCTGCTATAGTAAAGTTTATCTTTATACCAAAAAATCCTGCAACTAAATAATTTAATATATTACTAAATAGTATTCATAGCCTATCAAAATCATCTTCTTTTCTAATTTTTTTCTTCTAGCTTTTGAGCAAAAAGATTCATAGTCTTATAAAAAAAAATTAACACTAACAAAAAATAAGGAAATGAAATGAAAGGAAAAAGAAAAAAATTATTTAAGCAACAAGAAAACAAATAACAAAAACAAATGAAAAAAAAAAAAAAAAGTGAAAAAAAAAACAATTTATGAAAGCACTATTATAGCTCATGCTAGACACAGTTATAAAAATTATATACTAAATTTAAAAATCTTGTATATCTCTATTGTAAAGCTAAGCCTTATCCTTAAATTTTCTTCTAACTATACTGTTTGATTCAGATTAGTTTATTAAACAGAATACTGATTGGTTTATCACATAGTATAGAAATATTATTATTAAAACAATTCTGTGTTATGTTCTACTTTATTCTTCCAAAAATGAAAAGTATAAACAATGCTAATTTTTTGAAAAAAGTAAACTGGAATGTTCACTTTTTGTTAAAATTTTTGTGAAAGTGCAAAGAGGTGGAGTAAAAGAAGTAGAAACTACTTGTATAGTATGAATTTTTTTTATTAAAATCAACTGCAGTCTACACCAAAACATGCACAATACTAAGTCTTTTCAGTAAATGAAGAACTCTAAACTTGTTGGCAAATAGCATATAAGAACTATTTCTAAATAACAAGTGCTATGTTTGTAGTAACAATAAGTAATAAACTCTAAAAATATTAGCAAATAGTATATAAAACTATTTCTAAATGATAGTTGCTATTCTAAGGTTTCTCTTTTCATATCTTATAGTCTAATATGGCTATTTATAATTTTTCTTAATAAAAAGTTTTTTAAAAATTTTTGGTAAAAGTGATTATTAGAAAGAGTTTTTTTTTGTATTAAGTATTACTGTAAATATTAATTAATTGTTTTTTTAAGTTATTTAGAATTAAATATATTTTTAGATAGATAAAGTTAAATAAATCTTATTAATCTCAGAGCAACTTTTGATAAAAATGAATCATTAACTTAAAAACTTAACTAAGCAATAGAAGTATCTAGAGATGTTGTTGAGATTATAAATTTAAAAAATAAATTATTTTTTTTAGTATCCAAGCCAATTAAATTTTTACAACCAGGCCAAGCCATTATAGTTTTAATAGCTTGGCAGTTTAGCCTATAATTTATGAAATATATATTTTTTTACTAACAATCACTTCACAAACAGTTTAGCTTACCAACAATTAATTCACAAACAAGTTCATTTCATCAACAATTGTTTTACTGATAGCTCATCTCATTTTACTAAAAAATAATTTTATAAATTATACTAAATTTTAGCTCTAACTCTAACCTGATACTAACAACAATGATCAAAATTACTTTGTTGATGAAATATTGTCAGTGAAATAATTGTTGGTGAAATAATTGTCACAGCTGATGATGAAAACAGCTGATGCTGAAATTTCGATTATTTTATTATTAAATTTTTAAAAATTTTTTGGGCCTTTTCATTAGGGATTTTTTTATAGGGTTAGGTTAGGGTTAGGGGGTAGTTTTATTAGTAAAAAAGTATATGTGAATTTTAGTAGATATTATAGATTTAAAAAGGGACCCCAGATTTCAGCATCAGCCATTTTCAGCATCAGCTGCAACAATAATTATTGGTGAAATAATTGTCAGTTCTCATAAAGCATTGTTAGTGCAATAAATTAGAATATAGCAAAAGTGTAATAATAAAAGAATATAATTTTACTATAAATATAGGTTGCTATATATTAAAAAAAAGAAAAACTTTATTAGCAAAATTGCAATCTATATATTACAAATTTGTTTTTCTAAATTTATGCTATATTTTTATAAGTTACCCTTCTTTTGATAATACATTTCAGAGAAAGTTCTCACTCATGCATATCTAACAAGCTATCTTTCACATCAAGATCTTAAAAATTCCAAAAGAATCTTATAAAAGAAGGCAAAATATTTGCCTATCTTTGAAGGGGTCACACATTACCAGGTAGCATTAGTTCTTCATATTCTTTATACCATTTAATTCATAAAAGCCCTGGCAACTTATTTGTTTTAAGGAGCATTATATTATGACTAAGACTTGGGCGAAAATTTTAAAATGTGATTTCGTCGATTTGTGTAATTTGTGAACATATGATAAAAAATCAGGTGTGACATCTTGATCGACTGTTAATAATGTGCATTTAGAAAATAAGAAAAAGTGCATTTATAGAATATATTTGGGCCAGCACTTGTGAGTGCATTTAAAGAGGGTGTGCACTTATAGAGGGTGCACTTAGAGAGGCCTGACTGTATAATATGTTGGCTTTAGGTGAAATCCACTGTTTCAGGTTTTTTTTTTTGTCAAGAATGTTAATATATATGTTATATAATAATTTAGTAAATATTTGTACATATACGTATTTAATAAAATCAATTTTTACGTAAAATTGTTACGTATTTTCTTAATACGTAACACGTATTAATTATATTACGTATAAATTGAATTATGCTAATACACCAATATCGATATATAATTTTTAATTACTATCGTTATCAAGCAAATTTATATGCAGCGAATGAGAATATTATTGAAAATATATCGAGTATGCTATTGGAATTTGAGAAGTGATTTGAATTGCTTGGTAATTGATGGCTTTTGGAGAAATTCCTACAGGGAGGAGAAACATATTAGGATAATAAATCAACAACTATGTTTTATTTGTATATACCAACAAAATGACACAACCTTTGCTGCACTCTCCATGGTCTTATGGAAATACGATGTGGTTTTTTCGATTTCTTCATGTAATCTGGTTATCTCTGATTGATGTGTTGTCTCTGATGGAGGAAAAAAGTGTTGTTAAGATTTAATAGTTAATAGTCGGACGCAAAAACTCAATGATAATCCTAACGCACGAATGTGTGCAATATCTTTCTCAAAGTCTCTTCGCGCACGCATGCTCTGAGAGTGGTTTTTATCGAGTGCTCCGAGCAAATCAGACATTATTAGCTAATACAAGAATAAAAGAATTAATATTCGATACGTTTAATGTAAAGTAAGAATAAAGCAAACAAACTTGATATTTTTCAAATCCCAAGCGGAGTTTCCTTAAACAATTTCGTTTTTCTTCGGCATATTCATCCATTCTATCCTTATATTCTGACGCGATTTTGGTTCTTTTTTTTTCAAGCGCAAGGTTTACTAAAATTATATATCAACCTTGCGTAATGAATTACAACTTAACTTACGTGATATTGTCCTCCTCCTCAATATAACAACCAAGGGCATTAGTTACAGTAATTCTGCTTAATTCGAATCGTTTGTCCATCGATTTTGAAATTTGATTTTCCCGTTTTTTAAGGGATTCTATATGAAATTTGATCTTTATTCTTTAATCAGATAAATGATATAAAGCAGTGCCATAATAAATACCTGCAAGTGCCACCATAATTTCTTTATGGTTCAGTTCACTAAAAATTATAGACATAAGAATTATAAATTCATGTTTTGTAGATTAGATTAAATTAACATACTTGTCCTGTAAATCCGCATTATCATTTGACGTATTATAATCTTGTTCTCGAGAGTAAACGGTAGTTTTCAACCTAGACCCTTTAGGTTGGTAAATTTCAACCTGGTCAGGATTTGTAGTTCGTCTGTCAACATGTTTCGTAGGACTATGTAACCTAATACGCGATACTAAATAAATTATATTGCTTAAGCATTCTTTATTTTTTATACAAAGTTGTTCATTAAAGTGCGAGGCTACTAGTAAGTGGACCTTTTGAACTGTGGGGAATTACACGCTGCGTGAGTTTTCCGACTTTCGTTTTACCGTTCGTCTTTGAGACAACGTCAACGTTTGGTTTTTGTTTTACTATGGAAGATTTTACCCAGCGATTTGTCATTTTCATTTGGTTCTTTACTAAGATTACAAGATATGATTTATATTAAAGTAGAGCTTATATATTTGTTTACAATTTTTTAGAAATCACTGTCAGAATCAATAGATATTGCGATTAAAAAAAAAAACTCAACGAACATTATACAAATTAGTTTTATTGTTAATTATTAATATTTATAATTAATTCCGAACATTCAATTTTATTCGTGATAACATCGATTTTAATATTATACTATTTTAGAGTTTGAATAAATACTAACAATTTATATATCATCTTGCATCATATTTCCTGCCAATACAACCTTTTCCCCAGGTGCAAATGATGGCATACCAAGATATGGGCAGGTCGAACAACGGAAAGCATCACCAAGGTAACACTGTATCATAAAGGTAATTTCTAGATTATTATATGAACAAGAACCGAAAAGTATATAAGAAAATTATTACATACATTTCCACAAGATGATTTAATTTGTTGAGATTGTTGTGCGACAAGCTGTTTTTCTTTTTCAAGTTCTTCCGCAAGACCACATGAACAATTTTTGCAAGCTTTTCGTTTACCACTAGTTTCACAATCGGGACCTATTCGGGGAAAGAATATAATCGTGGTTTATTATAGTATTAATGTAGAATAATATGAATAATATGCTGAATGGTGTTTGTATACTTACGAACTAATGTACTTTTGTCAGGCTTGATCAAATCATCTTCTTCTAACAATTCGTCTTCATTTTCTAATTCATCATCATCACCAGTAAGTGTCCATATAGCTGTTTTACTTACTGTACTGCTATCGCCTATTTTAAGATTAATTAATACGTCAGGATGTAATAATTAAGAAGATTAAATAAAAGAAAAAACATGAATACCTTTAGAAGCCTTAGTGGCAAAAGGCAGCGCAAAAGTAGCTCCGACTTCATAAGTAGGTTTTTTTGCTCTTAGCTCGACCACATTTAACTGACCATTTAATACTTGGATCAGTTCTTGTCGTCTTATTTGATCGTGATTATTATGGGTATTCCAGACATGTTCCATGATTCTTTCCAATTCAGCCATTTCGACTTTTTTTGCTTCATAGATCTCCAAGTTAACAAATCCTGCCATTTTAAGTTCACTAACCAATTCTTGGGTAGTACGTAGCGGAATTTCGGTGTAGGACTGTGGTGAAAGTGTAGTAATTTCTTTGAGATATAAAACGCCACCCGGTACCAATGTTTTAACTAGTCTTGTAAATGCCTCAGTCGAACTAGTTAAACATGAATCAAAATGATTCAAATATATGGCATTGTAGGTAACGGGCGAATTTGGTTCTTTTAACATAAAAAAGTGATTAAAAACATTAGGAATAAGTTGCAAAATTTATTTGTCAAAACTTTGAAAAGCTCACCTGAAGCAGTAATTTTATCCAAATCTTCTACCTTGACAAAACCCTCATTGGTGACTCGTTGTGAAAGTTGTTCATAGATTTCATTAACTTTCGAAGAGTTAGAGTATGGGGACTTAATCAAAAGAATTTTATCACCAGGTGCATGAGTTTCGAAAGCCATCACGTATAGATGCGTCAAGTTATACTGATAGGTCTTTCGATTTTTTCTGCCTTATATAAGACCGTTGTTGGTCACAAATCATATATCATATGATAAAAATCATATGTTATCCAACAAACTATGAAAAACTTATTTTTTTTCATGTGTTACGAATATGTCACATGAATTTGAGCGTGATATTCGTGATATCTAAAAATAGAGTAACCAATAAAAATTTTTGGATAATCATAGTAAATTTATAAACGTATCATATCAGATATCAAATAGCAGAAACTTCGATGGCTAGTAAATGCCAACTTTGCAATGAGATTTTTTTTTCGCGTAAAAAGCTTGTAATTCATGAAAGAATTAAGCATCGAAATAACAAAACTATACCTCACCATTATTTACTTATCCAACCTCCTCTTGAACAAATCATATTTTATCAAGATGCATTTATAGTTCTTATTAAGAAGCGTCTTGGTTTTAATAGGCATTCAATAGGCACAAAACAAGTTTCAATTAATGCCTTTCTAGAAAATATATTTGTTTATCTTTTTGAGAATGAGCCTTCTTTCCGGTATAGTCCTGTACAATGAAAATATTCTTGTTCATTTCAAGGTGAAGCTGGCAAACATAGATTGAAGCAATTGGTCAATTATGACTATTGGAACGTTTGGCAAGACCCAAAATTAAAGACTAAAGGTTACGTGTTGTTTATGGATAATGGGAGTTCCTATGAAGTTACCTTTAGTTGGTTACAATCAGAGTTAAAAGAGAATGGTTGTATTTTTCGATGTGGAACTGCTACTTGTAAATTTGTAGCAGACTCAGGAGAATTTTCAGAAGAGTAAGATTAAAAATCTACTAACAAAATAGCTTCAGGCTATAATTTGCATATTTTAATTATTTTTATTTTTTTATTGTTTTATAAGACCTGCCATAGCCCAAATTTCACATGCACCAAATCCTTCGCAAGTCCTTGAGGTTAATTCAGACAAAAATTCTAATGATATAGAGTCTTCTCAAAGAAATTATAGATTTATTTTACCCGTGTGCCCTTTCAACAGATAAATCGCTAGAGGTAAATATTTTTAGTATATAGACGTATATAATAATTATTGGTTTTGATTCTAAT